GGAGGCCAAGGTGGGCAGATCACCTGAAATCAGGAGTTTGAGACCAACCTGACCAACATGGAGAAACCCCGTCTCTACTAAAAATAAATAAATAAATAATAAATTACCCAGGTATAATGGTGCATACCTGTAATCCCAGCTATTCGGGCGACTGAGGCAGGAGAATCGCTTGAACCCAGGAGGCGGAGGTTATGGTAAGCCAAGATCCAGCCATGGTTTTGGTGAAGGTTAAAATTGAGAGTTAAATTCAGGATGAACCCCATGCCACCAATTTCTGCTCCTCAGGTTTGTTTTAGATGTCAAGGGCTGTCTTAAGAGAGACAAGAGTCGAATATGCATTGAGTAGGCATATTTTGTAGATAAGAAAGGAGAAATGTGAGAGCATTAAGATATTAAAATATGAGAAGAATACTGAACTAAAAACCAGTCTGACTCTGCCTAGGCTTCCATTAGTGCAGCGTTTAGAGACTCGGCAGGTAGGCAAACTCAAATTCTATGGGTGTGACACATTAAGAATCCATAGGTCAGGTGCAGTGGGTCATGCCTGTAATCTGAGCACTTTGGGAGGCTGCCGAGGTGGGCAGATCACTTGAAGTCAGGAGTTCAAGGCCAGCTTGGCCAACATGGTAAAATCCTATCTCTACTAAAAAAATCACAAAATTTAGCCAGGTGTAGTGGCAGGCACCTGTAATTCCAGCTACTCAGGAGGCTGAGACAGGAGAATTGTTTGAACCCAAGAGGCGGAAGTCGCAGTCAGCTGAGATCATGCCACTGCATTCCAGCCTGGGCAACCGAGAGAGACTCTGTTTAAAAAAAAAGAATTCATACAGTGCCATCACTAGTCTCCAATGTGTCTCTGGTGTCATCATGAAAAAACCCTATCCTCCACAAGAAGACGGACTCCAACTGCCTGTTGTAGTATTTGAATACTTGTGTAGAATTGTCCTCTGCACAAGCAAGCTGTAAGATTTTCCCTTCATATCAATGTCTTCCACTTAAACAGCCTGCTCCTGCCATCCATCTCGGGCTGCTCTGCCTTGGACATGCACAGGCATCATCACTCTTTTTGTCACAATGTTTATACAACAGATCTCTTACAGTACCACGCGCAGCTTTCTTTCTTTTTTTTTTTTTTTTGAGGCGGAGTTTTGCTCTTGTTACCCAGGCTGGAGTGCAATGGCATGATCTCGGCTCACCACAACCTCTGCCTCCTGGGTTCAGGCAATTCTCCTGCCTCAGCCTCCTGAGGAGGTGGGATTACAGGCACACACCACCATGCCCAGCTAATTTTTTGTATTTTTAGTAGAGATGAGGTTTCACCATGTTGACCAGGATGGTCTCGATCTCTTGACCTCATGATCCACCCGCCTTGGCCTCCCAAAGTGCTGGGATTACAGGCGTGAGCCACCGTGCCCGGCCAACCACGCGCAGCTTTCTTCTTAAGCACAGTGGAGTCCAGAAGTGCATCTCAATCAGCCAAGCACACTGGTGCCCTTCTCCTCGTGACCAAGCACAACCTCATCATCCTTACCATCATGCACTCTCATTTTCTCTTCCGTCTCCACTATTCCTAGGACATTCAATTAGTGGTTAATTCTTAAATAATCATGTGAATGCTTACCCAAATGGCACTGAACAGTACCATGGAGAATGCATGTACTCAATGGCAGCTTTCTGAAGAAACATGCTCCGTATACATGCAGTTTCTTAGGCCCATCTCAAAAAAAAAACTTTTTTAAGCAAAAGGCATAATGTTAAAATATAAACCATTGATAACATGGTTTTGGGGACAAGACAGATTGACTATATATTTTAGTTAACCCTATCCAAGAATGCTGCATTCTGCTCATCTAACTCATTTCAACAGAACACACTATCTTGAAGAAGAATGAATGTATTCTTCTTCAAATATCAACTATGTTAGCTCTGTTTTTGTCAAGGATTAGAAAGCAACAAGGTTAAAGTTTCAGTCAAGCCTATAGTTAACACAAATCGACTGCACATTTCAAAATAGCTAGAATAATTTGAATGTTCCTAGTGTAAATAGAAGATAAATATTTAAGATGAATATCCCAATTACCCTATTTTGATTATATGAATTTACCAAACAATCATATGTTCTCCAAAAACATGTTCATCTACTATGTATCAATAAAAAATAAATTTAACGGCCAGGCACGGTGGCTCACGCCTGTAATCCCAGCACTTTGGGAGGCCGAGGCAGGTGGATCATGAGGTCAAGAGATCGAGACCATCTTGGTCAACATGGTGAGACCGCGTCTTTACTAAAAATACAAAAAATTAGCTGGGCATGGTGGCGCGTGCCTGTAATCCCAGCTACTCGGGAGGCTGAGGCAGGAGAATTGCCTGAACCCAGGAGGCGGAGGTTGCGGTGAGCCGAGATCGCACCATTGCACTCCAGCCTGGGTAACAAGAGCGAAACTCTGTCTCAAAAAATAAATTAATTACTTAATTAATTAATTAAAAATAAAAAACAAAATATTCTGTGTGGCTGAAAAATGACCAATTTATTTTGAATAGAAAACATGCAGACAGAAAAACTATCATGAAAATTTAAACATGTGAACAGAGGGTAGAAATTTTAAAATGGTAATTTTTCTTAGAACTTTATGAAGTTCAAGAAAAATACCTTAAAATCAATATAAAGAATAGCAGGCACTGTACTAAGCAGTTCACCCACAATATCATGTTTTAATCTCGCCACAGCCATAAAGCAGTAACAGTATGCCTAGTTATCATTCCAATCCTTCCTGTTGCAAGTAACAGAAAACCAGACCCCACCTGGCTGAAGCCAGTAAATGAAGAGACTAACAGGAGGGCCATGCTCAGGGCTCAAATACGTCACCAGGACATGGATTGCGTCCTAGTCTCAGCTCTGCTAATTCCTGTAGAATCCTCCTTCCAAGGTTCACGGGGTGGCTGCCACAGCCTCAGGCTCTCACCTCATGATGACAAGCAAGACAACAATACAGCCACCACCTGATGACTGTTCTCATTTCTACACTCAGGAGAATTAGAGAAATTTTCAAGTAGCACCCATAAAAATACTGAGTCCACCTGGTTGGCCTGGCTAGACATACGGCCAGCCCTGATTAAGTTGTTGTGGTCAGGGGCCTGGATTTTCTGGTTCGCTTAGACTAGTCATATGTCCCATCCCAGGACTGAAGAAATGCCAGGGCTGTTGCTGGAGAGTGGCTAATGTCACCCTTACAAATAAGGAGCTCATGATTTAGGAAGATGAGCTTGCCAGAAATCAGACACTTGTAAAATAAGTCTAAATTTCAATGTAGGTCTACTTATCTGAGCCTAAAGTCTTACAACCATTTATGGCAGTTATCCTAGCACCCACGTCGCAGAACAGAGGAGCCTGAAGACCGCAAAGAACACTTCCTTTTCTTCTAGATCCATCACCAATTGGAATATAAATCAATGTTACAATATTGAAGAAATCTGATTATGTGAAACAAAAAAACATTATGAATTTTCAGTCTGCTTTTACAAACTTCAAAACAAGAATGGTCAGTTTAGAAAAATTCATTTCCACTAAGAAAAAAATAGAATCTTAAGTGAAGTTTAAAATTATCCTGTTTTATAGATATGTCATTTATTCCAAATTTGTTTTTTAATGTCCTTAATGATTAATGATCAATTTCCAGTCTAAGTTGGTAATTTCTTTAGACCTTGCTTTCGAGGAAGTTTTGTTTTTTGTCTGTTTTTTAAAAAAGATTACTTGCATTTGTATATTTTCTTTGTACTTTCAGCCGAATTTCTTCTAATTAAAGTACAACGTAAGTTGAACCAACACAATAAAGTCAAGTCATTTTAAGAAAATAAAAAACAAACCTACTGATTTCTGCTTCTGGCCACGAGTGTGAGGGACCAGGTTTAAGTTCTTAAACAACTACAAAAATCAGACCAAAAAATACAGGTTTCCAGGCACCGGACGACAGGGAGTGCAGGGCTGGGATCCTTAAGCCAGGAAGCCGCGAGCCAGGAGTTTCCAGGCCACAACCCAACGGAAGGGCAGCAGAGGACACAGAGTGAGGGTTCCAGGGGCCAACACGCAATCCGAGGGAAGCCCTTCGTGGAGCGCTGGAGCTCGGAGCGGCCTTCCCGAGCAGGTGCAGCGAGGAAACACCCGACGCCGGGGTGAGCCCCAAGCTCACCGGAGCAAGGAAGAGTTCCGGCTCGAGACAGCCCCTGGGAGCAACAGCACAGTATTCGGGGCGTCGGGTAAAGCGCCCGAAGGCTCCGCTCAGGAGCGTGAACGCCACCGCCCGCTGCAAGCCTGAAGAGGAACGTGCTGCCTCGAGTCGCTCCGATGTGTCACACACGCGGTCCTTCGCGTAGGGAGCAGGAAAAAGCCAGCGGGCCACGCAGGGCTCCCCGGGGACTGCAACCAAACGCAAACGGCCAGGCCCACGAAGCAGGAAACGCAAAGGGATCCACAGCAAGGGGCCAGGAGTCACCCACTACGCCAGGCCGTCGGCGCCCACGCAGGGGTGGGGACCGCGCTTCCGCGAGCCAGGACGCCTGAGCAGCGCTGGGGAATCCAGGGATCCCCCAGAAAACTGCCCTCGACTAACAGCACCGCAAAGGGGCCGTGCGCTCGAGACCCTGGGGCGAGAACGACCACAGTCAGGCGGGGAAACAACCGGGGCGCAGGCCCAGGGGGACGGGCGGCTGAGGAGCGGGGCTGCGCCCACAAAGCCGCCAGGGGCTGCGAACTACAGCGATGCAGGCGCGGGCTTGGCCTGCACTACACGAGACCCGGGCGCCTGCACGCCCCTGCGCGTCAGCCAGCGGCTCTCAAACGCCCCGCCACGCGATCCCCAAAGACGCCCGCGGCGCAAGCCTCGAAGGGCACGCACCTGCGTCTAGGCGGTGACGCCATGCGCGGGGCGGGGCAGGGCGGGGGCGGGGCAGTGAGCCTGCGCAGTGTGGGCCGGGCGGAGCTGGCGAGCATGCGCAATACGGGGCCAAGCGGGACTGGCGAGCAAGCGCGAGGGGAGCGAGAGCAGAGGCGGGCGTCGCTATGGCAACGGCGAGCGGCCGCGGAGTTGCCAGAGGGAGCTGGGGCGGACGTCCCTGGGTTCCCGTGTTCCCGGCAGAGTCGAGGCATGCGGAGGCTTGGAGGCGCGGGCGGAAAGGAGGCGGCCTGCGGGGCGGGCTGGGTGCGTGGATTCGGGGTGGGGGCCGCTCGCAGCCCCGCTTTCGCCTCCTCCGAGCCGGGCCATTGGCCGGGGCTGTGAGGCGAGGCCGGGTCTCGCCGCAGCGCATGGCCTCCTCGGGGGCCTCGGGGTCCCTGTTAGTTCCCACAGCTCCTCCTACCTGAGGGGCGCGAATTCACGGCAGCCTAAAGCCTTAGAGCAGTGATCTCACGTCGGTAACATTAGAACCCAGTAAGACCCGCCGCCATCAGGGGACCCAGGTGCGGATGGGGTCGGCTCTCAGGGGAGTCGGAGCCTCTCACCCGCGCTTCGGGCGGGTTTGGAATCTCAGGAAAAGGCCAGCGGCGTTCACAAGGCAGGACATGACAGCAGGACCCTGTGTGGAATTGCATCTTTACACCTTGGGCTTGGGTCTCGTGTGTTTTTATTGAGACTGTTTAATACGCTGTGGTCACTCGCTTTGGCACCCCAGTGGCCGTTTTTGCCACCGAGCTCTGCCTCGTGAGCGTTTAATACTGGGATTTACAAAGCAGCGTATTCCTGTTCATCTTAGCTTTCAATACTGGGCAAGGGTTACGTGTCTGACCCTGCCGGTGCCACGGGCTCGTTGTATATTGAATCACCTGGTATTTGGTTTTCTCGTGTATAAACTGGAGTTGGACTAGATACTTGAAGCGTTTTCAATATCTTTAAAATCTGAATTTTAAACTCTAAAACATAATAATACGGTAGGACTTTAAAAGAGTACAGGTTTTAAAAGCTCTTACCCTGATATGAATGACAGTGGCCTACCGTGTAAAACTTGAGATTAAATTGCAGGCTGCAGATATGGCTGGACCGTATGATGCAAACTGTATCTTCTGCCAGGTGACAGGCGTTTTGGAATCAGGAACTTGGAAAAATCTGGCAGTGATCTTTCAGTATTTTAAATTCTTTCCACCATCTCTCCAAGTTCAGTGGTCTGGATGAGATATGGGGTGAAACTTCTTTCAGACATCTCTTGATGCCAGCATTGAAGGGGGAACAGGAAAGGGTCGCAGTAAGAACCATCACCAAAGCCTCTGCAGGACTTGAGCAGCGACTGACGCTTTTACTCCTAACCCTGGACATCTCAGAGATTTGGTTCCACTGTGTTTTAAAACCTTAGTGGGTTTGTTCTTTCAGTTGGAGTAATTTAATACAAGTGTTAGTCCTTAGAAATGGAGTTTGGATTAATTTCTGTTTTTACAGTTGGGCCCTCAATACAGTAAGTTCTCACTTAACATCATCCGTAGGTTCTTGGAAACTGGGGCTTTAAGCCATGCGGTGTATAAGGAAACCAGTATCATCATAGGCTAATTGATACATAGGCTAATTGACATAAAGAGGTAAGTTCCTACAGCACGTTCCTGGTCACAAAAACATCACCAAACTTCTAAATAACGACCAAAGCACTTCTGTATGAAACACTGAAATACGTGTGAGCTCTACATGCACTGAAGAAAGTAAGATCCTTATCCGATTTCTGGTGAATCGGCGAGTGACAGGGTCGTGGAGGTGCTGCCTTAAATCAAGGATAATGTTGGCCTGGCCAAAGCTCTGAAGCGCCTCCCGCCATGCAATTCACACAAACCACTTCTCAGTTGACCACGTGCTTTCCTCCTGCAGTGGGTGCATCTGTGTGGTTACCGTGTGCTTTACGAATTTTTATTTGATAGTAATTTGTATCATTCCATTCATTTTCCAACCTGTTTATTCCAGTTCAGGGTGGCAGGGAGCCGAGCCCATCCGGGCAGCTTAGGAACAAGGCAGGGAACAGCCCTGGAGAGGAGGGCATCCCGTGGCAGGGCATGGGATGCACTCACACACTCAGACAGGGACAGGCCAGTGAGCCTCACGTGCATGGCTTTGGGATATGGGAGGAACCCGGGACACCTGGAGAAAATGCACAGCACGTAGAGAATGTGTAAACTCCACACAGACAGTGGCACCTGCTGAGGACCAATTTTTTTCCTCATCAACGTTGTAACAAAACATTAGAAGAAACAGTGTTATTCGAGGGCCTGCTATGCCAGTTCCTAGATTATTTGAATAACTTTCTCCTCATTAGAGTGTTTTGAACACATCTGTCTTCATAAAATATACCATGTCCAAAATTTAAAAGGGCCAATTCCAAATTATTCTACCAGCTTTGAAGGGATTGAAGCAAGAATAACAAGGTCTGTTCTATGTGAAAAGACCTATTTTAGATACTTCAAAGGTCATCTCATTAATCCTCACGGCCTCACTGCAAAGCCAGTACAATTGCACTTGGTTTATAGATGAGGAGCCTGGGGCTCAGTTGTGGTAAGTATCTTGGGCAGCAAAGTGGTAGCGTTCAACTGGAGCTCACGTTGGTCTGTCCACATATTCTGTGTCTGTGTTTTGGACAGACTGAAGTTAGCCAGTGTTCCTCTTGTGTTCCAGTTTCTTCATTGTTCCCTTTTTCCCCAAAATAAGCATATCATGCTGATTTCCAGCCTGCCAGTGCTTTCCTCCTACCTGTAGTGTGACATGTTCATTTCCCTCTGTACCTTTCAAATGCCATTTTAACTGTTATCTCTTTAGGAGGTTTTTCGTTTACAAGTCTCCAGTGCTAGCCTGAGATTTTACAGTACTTACGTATCATCTATTAATGGATTGATTAATAGTAACCACTTGTATTAATGTGTTCTCAACATCTCAGGAGTGAACTATTTGAGGACAGGGATGAGTCAAAGTGTAACTGATTTGAGTTCACCCCCTTCCTCCAGAACCAAAATGTGTAGCTTAGTGCCACCCTGTAGCAGGCATTCCCACTGCTGCATTATCAGTCAGGTTGTTCTACAGATCGTTCTCACAGACTTCATGAAAGGTTTGGATGCACTGTAACTTTGACTTTCTGTTGACCATGTTTTTTCAGCAGAAGAATAGAAGGAATGTGATATGATGTGATGATAGAATTTGTGATAGCCAGGCAGCAACTTCTGATGCGGCATGTTAAAACATAAGGTACCCTATTTTTTTTTTAAACATACACATTATTTGACTCATGAAACATATTTTAATTCGGCTGTTTGAGAGTATAAAAAATAGTTTGCAAACCCTGCTTGAACTAGGAATTGTTAGCAGGAATGGGTAATGCCAAGTGTGGCATGGGCCAGTGGACAGGTTGATGGGAAAAACAGTCTCTGGTGATATTTACTGCAGGCATCTCTTAGCTGTTTGGTGATTTTTTATTCTGCCTAGGAAATTACTCAGTTTTCACAAGAGTCTCCTTAGTAGTGGCCTGGAGTCTAACTTAATTATAGTGAAGCAGCATGAATTTGTTCAGGCATGCACAGGTTTATAGGTCATAATGAATTTATGCATATTATAATTAAGGCTTTAGTAATTAAGTGAAAAGATATTCCTGTTTTGTTAACGTAAATGCTGAGACAAGAGTCTGCTCCCACTTATGTAACAATGAGTCAAGCATTCCTTGCTATTTGATTTGGTCATATATGCCATCAAGGTTGAGTACTGAAACCTTGTAATACCTTCTAAGTGATACATTACATTAATATTCCTCTAAATATGACTTATTTCTTACTTTCTAGGGTCACTCATCTAAGAAAGATAACTTGGCAATGAATGCAGTTGCTTTGCAAGATCACATTTTACATGATCTTCACCTTCGAAATCTTTCACTCGCAGATCATTCTAAGACACGAGTACAAAAGAAAGAGAGCACATCTCTAAAAAGAGACGCAAAGGCAAGAGTAGATACTGGACTTAAAAAAACTGCACAGTGCCCCAAACTAGAAGATTCAGAAAAAGAATATGTTCTTGATCCCAAACCGCCACCGCTGACTCTGGGTAAGCTGATGTCATTCATCTTCTGGCTGATCAGAGCTTCAGAGTCTATTGAGGTCAATAGTATAATTGTTTATGTTACAGAAATAATTTACCCTAATTTATAATTGTACAGAAAAGTGTGTGTGTATTGAAGGTATCACATGTTGAAGCTTAAAAACGATGGGTTCATTACAGCAAGAGACTAAAGATGGTGATGTCAGTAGGATAACAAGTGACAGTGGGAGGCCAGAGATAGCTACTGATTCCCATGAATAAGAATAAATCTGAGTAAATCAGTGATGGAAAAGAAAACTCCCTTCTAGTAGAATGACTACGACTCATAGAGATAATAGACAGGAGACAAAATCACCTTTGGCAAACATCACAGTAATTATCATCATTGCTGAAATTTGGAATGAGAAAAATTATGTCCAGACACAGAACATTGAGGTAGCCTCAGTTTCTTCATAGATGCAAGTACATGGCAGGGAGAAAAACAGTAACTTCACAGTTATTTCAACTGTACATGGTAGCACTTGGCAAGCAGCACCTGAACCAAGTAATCCCAGTTAGCTCAGCAGTCATGCACAGGCCAGCATCATGTGCCTCCTGCTGAAAGGTGCAATGTCACTTCTGTAGCATTCTTACCAAAATGCATATCTAAATTTAATCATGAGGAAACCTCAGACCAACCCAAGTGAAAGACTTCCTGTAATCCCAACACTTTGGGAGGCCGAGGCAGGTGGATCACGAGGTCAAGAGATCGAGACCATCCTGGTCAACAAGGTGAAACCCCGTCTCTACTAAAAATACAAAAATTAGCTGGGCACGGTGGTGTGTGCCTGTAATCCCAGCTACTCAGGAGGCTGAGGCAGGAGAATTGCCTAAACCCAGGAGGTGGAGGTTGTGGTGAGCCGAGATCGCGCCATTGCACTCCAGCCTGGGTAACAAGAGCGAAACTGTCTCAAAAAAAAAAAAAAAAAAAAAGACTTCCACACAGTTCCCAGCTAGTACTCTTCAAAAGTGTCAAGTCAACAGAAGCAAATGGAGACCTAGAAACTGTTCCAGATTATAGACTAAAGGAACATGGCAGCTGCAAGTGCAATTTGTGATCCTGGATCAGATCCTAGTCCAGAGAAAAAGACATCAGTGTGACAGAGAATCATGTCTGCAGAAGGCATGCAGGCTAATTGATAGATGATATCAACATTAATTTTGTGGTTTTGATCTTTGCACTAGGGTTATATAAAAGGTTAACATTTGGGTTAAGAACATAGGATAATTCTTTTCTTCTTACAAGTATGCATATTTATTTGGAATGAGACCAAAACTTGCAACAAATTAGGAATTTCAAAAAAGATGAAAAATATCCCAAATAAAAATCAATAAAAATAGCATAATATTTTATGTTAATTCACTTCCTGAAATATGTCTATAATACTTTTTCTGTCTCCTTTGTTTGCTAGGCACTTTAATATATTTTCATGTGACAATAATTCTGTAATGGCATTTTCTATAGAAGTCAGCTTTACCTCCATCATAACTGATTGAACTTCTTTCCTTATAATAGGTGAGATACACATAGCATGCAACTTCACACACATTCTTACTGTGTACAGTATTGCTACAGGTTTGTGCCTATAAATAAAGGCATGTAAACCAATTCCATTTCTTTTAATTAATGAAAGAAAGGAAGTGTGTTATGAACTTAATTGTAAATGCTGTATTTAAGTATATTAAAAAGAAATGTATTCTCTCACTGTCCTGGAGGCCAGAAGCCCAAAGTGGCACTGTTGGCAGGGTTCTACGGGATAATCCTTCCTCACCTTTCCCTGGTGCTTCCTGGCATTGCTTGGCTTCACTCCAATCTCTGCCTCTGATGTCACTCCAGTCTCTGCCTCTGCCTTCTCTATGTGCGATTGTGCCCTCCCTCTCCCCTTATAAGGATACCATTCATTGGATGTAGGGCCAACCTTAAACCAATATGACCTCATCTTAACTACATCTGCAAAGAGCCTATTTCCAAATAAGGCCAACGTTCTGAGGTTTCAGGTGAACATGAATTTTGAGGTGACACTATTCAACCCAGTACATCAAGAATGCCCGTGATGGGGAGAGCTTCCATCTAGATTAGGCATCAATGAGACAGAATCCTTCGCTTACATTTGTGGTCTGGAAGACTTTTTCACAGCTTCAGTCTAAGTACTTTTCATACTTTGTCTCTCATCCACTACTCACATGTATTACTGTGGTGATAGGCACCAGAGCTCCAGTTGATAGCTCAGTGTGGCTAAGCTATGGTTTGAATGTTTGTCACCTTCAAAGCTCATGCTGAAATTTCAATTTTTTTTTTTTGAGACAGTCTCACTCTGTTGCCTAGGCTGGAGTGCAGTGGCACGATCTCGGCTCACTGCAACCTCTGCCTTCTAGGTTCAAGCGATTCTCCTGCCTCAGCCTCCCAAATAGCTGGAATTACAGGTGTGTGCCACCACACTCAGATCATTTTTGTATTTTTAGTAGAGACGGGGTTTCACCACGTTGGCCACGCTGGTCTCAAACTCCTGACCTCAGGTAATCCACCCGCCTCAGCTTCCCAAAGTGGTGGGATTACAGGTGTGAGCCCCCACACCTGGCCTGTTTTTTTTTTGTTTGTTTGCTTGCTTGCTTGCTTGCTTTTTGTATATGTTTCTTCTTTTTTATTTATTTTTATTTCAGTAGCTTTTGTGGTACAAGTGGTTTTTGGTTACATGGATGAATTACATAGTGGTGAACTCTGACATTTTAGTGCACCTGTCACTGGAATAATATACCTTGTACCTAACGTGCAGTTTTTAAAAATCCCAACCCCTTCTGCCCTCCCACTTCTGAGTCTCATGTCCATCGTACGACTCTGTGCGCCTTCGCATACCCGAAGCTCAGCCCCCACTTAGAAGTGAGAACATACAGCATGAGTTACTTCGCTTGGAATAAAGACCTCCCGCTTCATCCAAGTTGCTGCAAAAGACATTTTTCATTCATTTTCGTGGCCGAGTAGCATTCCATGCTGTATATACACCACATCTTTATCCGCTCATGGATTCATGGCACTTAGGTTGGTTCCATATCTTTGCAATTGTGAACTGGGCTGCAGTAAACATGTGTGTGTGTCTTTTTCATAGAATGACTTCTTTTCCTTTGGGTAGACACTCAGTAGTGGGATTGCTGGATCGAGGGATAGATGTCCTTGTACTTCTTCAAGGAATCTGCATACCGTTTTCCACAGAGCTTGTACTAATTTACGTTCCCACCAGCGGTGTTTAAGTGTGTGCCTTTCAGCACATCGACACCAACATCTGTTGCTTTTTGACCTTTAGTAATGGGCATCTTGCAGGAATAAGGTGGCATCTCATTGTGGTTTAATTTGCATCTCCCTCATGACTGACGCTGTGCCTTTTTTCATGTTTGTTGACCATCTGTTTATCGTTTTTTGAGAAATGTCTGTTTGTGTCATTTGCCTTCTTTTTGATGGATTATTTGGTTTTTTTTCTTGCTGATTTGTTTGAGCTCCACATAGATTCTGGATACTAGTCCTTTGTTGAGAATTCTTCATACTGTTTTTACAGCCTTTTGTAAATCTGAAATTATTTTTAAACTGAAATTATTAACTGAAATTTAACTCACTCTGTGCCCAAGCTGGAGTGCAGTGGCACAATCTCAGTTCACGGCATCCTCCACTTCCTGGGTTCAAGTGATTCTCCTGCCTCAGCCTCCCTAGTAGCTATGGGCACGTACCACCATGCCTTACTAATTTTTTGTATTTTTAGCAGAGATGGCTTTTCACCATGTTGGCCAGGCTGGTCTTGAACTCCTGACTTCGTGATCTACCCACCTTGGCCTCCAAAAGTGCTGGAATTACAGGGGTGACCCACTGGGCCTGGTCCCAGAAATATGATTTTTTAATGATGGGCATGGAAAATAGGTTTGGTTGAGGACAGCATGTCCTAGTGCAGGTCAGATGGATCTGGAGGTGCTGGAAGGCCTGCATGTTGGAGTCGCACAAGGTGGAGTGCATCTGTCCCCACTGCAACGGCAAAGGAGATGTTTGATGCTATCTTCCTTTGAACTTCTGCTAACAAGCTCGCTGTCTTCCAGAAAATGGTGTGGCTCAAGAACATGTTGAGACTTGGAATAATGTCATACAGCAGTTTAGTGAAGATCGTCTGTTGTGCCTGTGTAGTGTATGTAGATGACCAAATAGTTTCATCATAATCAACCTTAAGAATTTTTATCAGGAAAAATTTAAATTAGGTAGCAAGAAGAACTTCTCAATCTGGAAAAGAAGTAAAATTATTTAGGAAAATAAATGAGACATTTTTTCAGGACCGCTTTATGGAAAAAAAAATCCTGATTGTGCATATTAGTTACTAATGACATTAAATCATAGGCTATAACTACTATTTAATATAGTGGAATATTATGTATAATATTCCACTTGGATTTCTGTCTTTTCTTGCTGATTTACTGGAGTTCTGTACATATTCTACCTAGTAATCTCTTGTTGATTTAGCCATTGAAAGTATCTTTTATCATCTTTTAAATTATATCTGTGATTTTATATTGAGTACAGTTTTCATTCTGATCAATGTTAAATCCACTGGGTTCTTTTTCTGTTCTATTGCTGTTTGGGGGAGATAAGATATCTGTCAGCATTCTGAGAGTGCAAAGATTCTCCTACATTTTCTTTATTCACCTTTAACCTTTTACATGTGGATCTCGCCAGTTTGTTCTGTTTATGACACTGGGAAAATCAATGGGTATAAAAACGTGTTCTTTTCATTCTTTTTGAGGCTTCTGCTTCTATGTCACTATCATACTGTTTTGATTATGGTCTTGTAATAGGTCTTAACAGCTGGTAGGAAAAGACCTTTCCTCTTTTTTTTCCTCTTAAACTACCTCATTTTCTACATAAAATTCTGCTGGGCATTTTTTTCTAATCAGATTTGTAGATGGAGGATATACCATATTTACAGTGCTATCATCTG